AAGAAGGCCCCCGTCGGGGGCGTTAGTTTCCCGCCGAACTACGTCCAGGGCAAGTTTGAGGAGCATGTGGAGAGCCACTGGAAGGTGTGTCCCATGTGCAGCGAGCAGTTCCCACCCGACTACGATCAGCAGGGCTTCGAGAGGCACGTGCAGACGCATTTTGATCAGAACGTGTTGAATTTTGATTAAATACCTTTCGGTTTGCAGTGTAGCTTAAAAAAACCAACCCAGCCCCAAAGCCTGCGACTTTGAGTAGCTCACCTATGGAGCAAAACCAGCACCTTCTCCCTAACAGCGCAGACTGCCCGGGAACGGCCGCCGTAACCCAGCGGGAGCCACGGCGAGTCGTGGCCGGAGCTGCTCTTGGGTTACCGGCCGTCCCATGCCGTAGTGACCGCCCCGGCGAGCCCCGCCGGGCTGCGTTCGTAGCTGTCCGCTCCCCTGCTCTGTGAAGGTGGCCGGGCCGGAGGAATGACGTGGCCTCGGGGGAGAGCGAGGCCAGCTCCCCGATGCTCCTCAGCCACCGCAGCACCCAGGGGTTCTCCTGGACCGCGGTCGCCGAGGCTGGTTAAAAATGTCACCAGCGATGCTCCTCCCAGCAGCTCTGCGTAGTTTTCAGTCTGAGTGAACAGCTAAATCGGGAAGTTATGTCACTTGCCCTACAAAAATAGAGTTTTCTAGTACCTTTCGGAACCATAGGTGCACGTTCCGTGAGATTACGCGCTTGCAGCAGGAGGAACGGCGGACGCTTCTGGGTTTGCCCGCAGGTTTGCCGTGGGGGGGAGCGCTCCCCGAAGCGCGTTAACCCAAAGGCAGTACTTCTGAGTTGAAAGAAACCGCTGCGCTTAAACCCCTCAAAGTAATTGTTTTAGACCCCAAATCGCTGCCGTTGCGTCGCAGTCATGTTCGGTAGGAAACGCCGCAACGCTTGACAGCAGCGAGTTGCATTCCTTTTGGCTCCGAGCTTTTAAGTCAACCCCCCGTGTTGTACGTCTGTCATTCCCGCGAGAGCGCGCAGGGCTGGCGTTTTCTGTTCCCGGTGGCCGTGCCGAGTACGCCTGCTTCCCCGTGTTGTACAGGAGCCTCGTTACATTAAAGGCAAAAACCGTTCCCGGAGTCTGTGGTCCCTTTTCCTGCTGCTCATTTGAGGGAGGGCAGAGTTCAGCCGTGCGGCACCTACCGTGACGTCCCCGCTTTGCCTGGCAAGGGCACGGCTACTCCCTCTGCTCGCGCTCTTCAGGAGAGGGACGCCTGCGGGCTCCGGCAGCTTCTCCTGCCCGTCCTTCCTGTCGGGGCAGGATTGCGGAGCTGGGGGAGAGAGGTGAGCGGCGGGGCCTGGGCAGCAGCTGCTTGGCCCCCGGGGGCATGTCTAAGCGCGACCTTCGCGGCAGGAGCTGGTCTGAGCAGGGCACGGCAGCACCGACTGCACCCGCGGGACAGCGTTTCGTCCTGGGCGACGCGGCGGGAAGGGTTGGAAGAGGCTGCGTGCCCAAGCTGTCACGAGTTACTGCCTCCCCGCGGACTCGGGAAGCTCGAGGTGTTGGAGCTGCGTGCGGGCAGGCCGACCTCCCCGACGGTGGAGCGCTCCGGCTGCTGCCGGTGGCCGCCGGGCCCCGGGGTTGGTGCCCGAGTCCAGCGGATGAGTAGAAGGCTGCGTGGCCCCAGGCCGTCGCCCTCCGGGTCAGTAAGGAGTGAGGAGCAGGCGTTTCGGGTCAGAGGCAGTTTATTTTAAAGGTGATTGGATTTACACTTAGAAGCAGCTTTCTTGACAGGAATTCTTTAAGTTGCCTTCAGTTCTAAAACAAACCTCTGTCACTCTCAGACTTGAAGTACTTTGTCCCCAACGAAACATATGAAAATATAATTTAAAGCACACTTTTCACAGACACGGTACGATACATTCACTATACACAGTATAACAAAACAGTCCCGTCTTCCCCGCTTCCGTAACACTGTGAGGAGGTGAGCAGAGCCTGGAATTCCAGCTGTGGAGTCGAAGGGAGTTTACACGGGTGTTCTGCGGCTGTTGTTCAGCTGTTGAACGGACTTACCCAGCCCGCAGGTTCCCGCACCAGGAGCGGAGCCAAAAGGTAGGTGGGGGTCAGGCCGGTTGCCAAAGCTGCCGGAGGTGGCCGGCAG